TATTTTATAGAACTCTTTCCTTCTGGTTAAACAAAGTATATTTTGTATTTTATTAATGATCTTTAAGACATCAGTATATGAAAAGGGGATTTTTGTTTGCTTCATCACAAAGCTACTAATACATTTTAAGGCTACAGCAATAGAAGTCCTAGACTTAAGTTAAGGGAACTACTATTTCTGTTTTATTCTACATAGAGCCAGACAAATATAAAGTTGAGTGTTCCAGATGCACAGTATAAAAGCAACATTGAAAAACTGTAGTGTATTTGAAAGAGAAGATTAAGATAGTGAAAGATTTGGAAATCATGCTGTATGGATGATTCAACAAACACTTGGAAAAGAGGCTAATTAAGAGGAGTAATAAAACTTGACTCAGCCTCGTTGGGTGGCACAGTTGGTTGAAGCATTGTCCCATATGCCAAAAGGCTTATGGGACAATTCCCAGTCAGGGCACATTCCTAAGTTGCAAATTTGATCCCCAGTTGGAGCCCATATAGGAGGCAACTGATTAATGCTTCTCTCTCACACTGATGTTTCTCTCTCTCTTCCTCTCTATCTCCCTCTGTCTCCATCTCCCTTCCTCTCTCTCTAAAATCAATAAAAACATATCCTTGGTGAGAATAAAAAAACTAACAACAAAACTTGACTTCAAATCTTTAAAAACATGCAGCATGGAAACAACTTCAGTGTCCTTCAATGGATAATTGGATAAAGAAGATATATGTAGCCCTAGCTGGTTTGGCTCAGAGGATAGAGCCTTGGCCTATGGACTGAATCCCTGGTTTAATTCCAGTCGAGGGCACATGCCCAGGTTGTGGGCTTAATCTTCTGTAGGGGGCATGTAGGAGGCAGCTGATCAATGATTCTCTCTCATCATTCTTGTTTCTATCACTCTCTCCCTCTCCCTTCCTCTCTGAAATCAATGAAAATATATTTAAAAGTAGAAGATATATACATATAATGGAATATTACTTATCCATAAAAATAGTAAAAAGCTGCCATTTGTGACAACTTTTTCTGAGTATATCTAGCTAAGTGAAATGTCAAATGGAAAAGGACAGGAACCATATAATTTCACCCATGTGTGGGATATAATACAGAAAGCAACAAATGAATAAACAAAACAAACTAAAAAACAGACAACAGAAGGGTAGTTATCAGAGGGGAAAGGGTTATGAAGAGTATGGAGAGGGTAAAGGAAGTCAAATATACTGGTGATGAAGGGAGACTAGACTTTGGATGACAATCACACAATACAATATAAAGATGATGTACTATAGAGCGGAACATATGAAACTTACATAATGTATTAACCAATGCCACCCCAATAAATTTAACTTTTAAAATCACCTTTGAATACCTATTAAGAAATCGTACCTATTCTGTATAGTTGCAAACAACTAAACTGTAAACAAAGGTAGAATTTTAAGAAAAGAGATGTCACAATTAAATAAGAACAGTACTAAAATGAAAAGGGCTGCTTTTTGAGGCTTTCATTTACTGAAATTTCTAGAACAGAAACAGCATGACCACTGGACAGAGATTTTGTGCAGAGAGTTCCTGATAGGGTAAGAAGCTGGACTCAAGGATCCCCAACTTCTTACCCTATGATCCATTAGGAACATTACACAGTGCACCAAGTTACTGTATAACAGAGTGATACCTTTACAGCCTTTTGTGCTTTGCCTCTGCACTGCAAGGCCTCAGACTGCTGTGGGTTTTTGTTTTTATTTTTTTTTTGTCCTTATGGCTACTTTTTATAGTTCTCCCATTCTCCTTATTACCAAGTTATTTCAACTCATTCCTTGTTTTAATGACATCCCGCGCCATTCTAATTTGCTATTTCTATCTAAAGGCCCAGTGCACGAACTCATGCACAGGTGAGGTCTCTCAGGGGCCAGCTGCAGGAGGTTGGCTGTGGGAGTGCCCTGACCACCAGGGGTCAGTGTGTGTCATAGCGACTGGTCAGCCAGTTGTTCCGGTTGTAACAGTTACTTAGGCTTTGATAGATGATAGATAGATAGATAGATAGATAGATAGATAGATATGCTGTGGCCTAGGAAAGCAGCATAACCAAACTTATTAACATTGTAAGAATAATTTAAGTGAAGTACTAAAGAGCTCTCCCATGAATAAGATTTTTGCTACATCAACATTTTACCATTTATTTTAGTTCTTAAAGGACCTTTTAGCTTTCTTCCAAGTTCTCAGGAGTATTCTAGGTTAATTTGATAATTACACAGCATTCTGGAAACTTGATATTGAACTTGTTTACGTTTGTTTCAAAAACACAATCATAGGCATTGATATACTTGTCACTGAGTAAGATTTTCCTTATGTAGGTAAAATTTTCCTAGATAGCTTCTTCAAAATTACTAGTAAAAGAAAATGTATCTAAGTTAGAATTAGATTAAATTTGAATTTAGAACTAACCTAGAATACCTAACCAAATAAAATTGATTAGAAATTGGTTAGAATGCTAATCACTTTTCTCTCCTGAGCTGTTTTATATATAAAGTATTGTTGTAAAGGTATAGATTAATTTAGAATATGGAGCATCATTCTGATTTCACTGTTGTTGTTTTTTTCTTAATCTGTCAAAAACATTTAATAAAAACTTATTATATATCCAGCAGGTGTTCTCCATTAATAACAAAGAAAAATAATGCTTTGTTTAGGCTTACCATTGAGGAGATTACCGTCTTGTTTAAGGATGCAAAAAAAGGTTTACAGTTCTGATTACATGAAACGGGTTATTCTTGTATTATTATTGTATCATTTGTCTTCTTATTATTTCATACACTTAATCATAACCTGCATGTCTTTTTCCATATAAATAACTGTAAACCTACTTTTGCCCAACCTTGTATTAGTGAGGCAGGACTGATGCAGATAGTAAATGGTTTTGAAACTTGCAGTGATTGCTAGAGTTTTGCTTTAATATACTACTATATGTTATTAGCTCACTCAAATTAATAAGTGTGCATTTTCTTTTTTAAAAATTTGCTTTGGGTATTAGGTAATATTGGTGCTAAGAGCTTTTGACTGTTATAATGCCTATCATTTATTTGGTAAAAAGAATAATTTGGAGAGGTGTTTTAGTAGCTTCATTGGGAGCATATTTATTAAAAAATGAAGAAAGTCCCAATATTGCCAATATTTGAAAACTCAAAGGTTTTATTTTCTAAAGTGTTATATGAATTGCCACCTCATATTATTTGCCACTTTCCAGTGTTGTCCATAAGATTACATTAAAATCTCCCAAATAGGTGATGCTGATCTCACCCCAGATCCTCCTGGGAGATATTTTCTCATGTAGTCCCAGCTGAGTCATAAATAACATCTACATGTGCCCCAAAGCTCTGCATTGTCCTCATCAGTAACACACAAAACTGAATGGTATCTGTAAAGCAGTTAATTTTCTGGAAAAATATTCAAAGGCACAAAATGAACAATGCAATAAAATTGCTTTCTACTTAACTTTGTCAATTTCCCTAGAAGTGTACATCGAACAATGTTTTCATAGAACTTGCAAAAGTCGTAGACTCAAGTGTTATTTATTCTCTTTATAAACAGCAGCCTTGAGCGATTCTCTCCACAATTAGTTACTTGTGGTTGCTACTAAAATGTTCCCCATAACATTCCACATCATTATTGTTTCTCAGCACAACACACTCTATAGAGTGAAAGTGCTTGGGAGGACCAAGGACGTGCTCTTTGTCCTGCCCCTGTCGCTAGACAACGATGTTCTTAAACTGCCCAGGGGAAGTCCTATGACCCTTGAGTTTGAATTAGGGGATACCTTTTACATCAAAATGGATACACCTAGCATAAAGTAAGTATTGATTGTTCAGCGAGACGTCCTCCCGGCCCCCCAAAGGCGGCAGAGAAGCAGGGAACGCCACTTAGTCCTAGCGCTCTCTGACGCCCGTGACCCTGGCTGGGCTGGGGTGAGGGGTGGGGTGGGGGGAAGTCCTTTCCGGGGTCCCGAGACTCCCAGAAAAGGGGCGACGGGGATGCAGGGGGAGAGAGGGAGGAGGGCTTGTTTTGCCCGGGGATGTGGGAAGTAAGCGCTAGCCTGTTTCGCGGTTTTTTAAGCCCCTTGGCATGCCCTGACCTGATCCGGAGAGTCAACTGCTCTCTGGAATGTTCCGGGAGAAGGTGGGAGACTGCTTCCCAGAGGAGGCCTGTGGGTGCTGCAGGGCATCAGGGGGGTCACGCAGGGAGGTGAAGGGCAAGCGCCGGGAGGGGCGCGAGGAAAGCTGGGGGCCGAGATGCCGAGCGCGCGTGGGGGGCTGAGGCCGGCGGGACAAGCTGGTAGCGAGGCGAGGAGGGCGGCTGGCTGAACCCAGAAGGGATCCCTCCCCGGGCAGACTGACGGCGGTGGCGACCGGGCCGCGCGGGCTGCACCACCCCGGCGGCTGTCAAGCGCGCGCGGGAGCGGGGAGGGGGGGAAGGGGGGGGCGGGAGGAGGAAGGGGTGGAGGTGCGAGGGGAGGAGGGCTGGCACCGGAGCGCCGCGGTGTCGGTGCAATAAAAATGCATCCCATGGAACTGCCCGTGGAGAAGGAAGGGACGGAGACGCCGCAGCCGGAGGAGGTGGGAGAGGCGGAGGAGGACGCCTGGGAGACGGCGGCGGTGGCAGAGGCCGGGAAGTGAAAGGTCTCGCAAAGTTCAGCGGCGGCTGCTGCGAGCGCCGAGCCCGGGCTAGCCCGCGGAGGAGCCGCGGGACCGCTCAGCCGGGCAGCGCGGCCCGGCCGGCTATGGTCCGGGGGCTCGCACCGCTCCCGAGGTGCCCGGGCCCCTCCAGGACAGCGTGCGAGGGTCACTCCGCCGCCCGGCGCGACCCCGGCCCGCAGCCCCCGGTCGCCGGCGACCGCTGATCACGCCTGGCACCCTGGGAGAAGGAAGAAATAAGAGAGCAGCCCGGGCTCCTCCGCAGGACTGCTGGCGCTTCATCCCGCACCCGCCCGGCCCCGGTCCTGCCGGCTCCTCCCGGACATGGGGAGCTGCGCGCGGCTGCTGCTGCTCTGGGGCTGCTCCGCGGTGGCCGCAGGTGGGTGGTGACGCGGCCGGCCCCCCACCCCTCTTCCTTGGCGCCTTAGGTTCTCCGCTCAGGTCTCGGGGTGCAGGGGGGAGTGCGGTTCGGGAGCGCCGAGCTCAGCTCCCTGGGATGAAATGAGTGGCCATGTTCCGCCTCCTTTCCTCGGTCTCCGCAGTTTAAAATATTATTGATTTTTTTTTTTTCCAACTGCGAATCCAATGCCCTTGGATAACCCGATAGCATAGGTGCACCCAGCCTGAGATACTTGACCTTGGTTTCTTTCTGGGTTTGGGTTAGTAAAAAAAAAAAAAAAAAAAAAAAAAACCAAACAAACTGCTTTTCCACTTTGTGAGGGAACAAAGGACCAAGCTCGCCATCCCCCGGCACTTCATGGCCTGAGGAATGATGGGGAGGGGTGGCCCAGCGACCCTGGGCGCGCGTGGGCCAGGGCTGCTTTCTCACCGAGAGAGATGCCTCCGTGCCCGACCTCCTGCAGGGTACTCGGGAGCCAGGTAGGGACACCGGGGCGAGGTGAGTGCCTTGCTCACGGGGCAGTGTCTGGATCGGAGTGAGACCGGGTTGGGACGGAAAGTGGTGATCGCTCTGGGTTGCAAGGAGCGGGCTGGCCGCCCCTCGGGAACTGGTACCCAGGCCGAGGCTCCGCGGGAGGTCGGAGGCGGGTCTGCTCCTTGTCTGGGAAACTGAAAGACCGGCAAAGGCGTCCTCAGATGCGCTCTTCTTCCCACTTCCATCCCGGCTTTCTTGGGCTATTCTTGGCCACCCGTTCCTAGCTCGCCTTTTCTGAATGTGGGAGCTTCTTCTGCTCCTGTCCCTCCCTTTTGAGGGTCACGTGGTTTCCAATTAGGCATAGGTGTAGCTCCGTGTGTTAGGGGGAAAGAAAGTGAGGGACTCAAACACATCTCGCTAGCTCCAGAACGGAGAGTGTGGGCTGGAGGGACCGACTGGTGGCTAGTGGGCATCGTTTTTCCTTTCCCTTTGGCTTCTTCTACTCTGCCCCCAGAGATGCTGGCACGCAGTAAAAGTCAGGCTCTAGAATTTGCATCCCAAACCAACCAGACTCATGAGAGCATCCTTGCTATATACTTGACTGATCATTTTCTTAGAGATGATTTCCAAGTGTTTTGTCCACCCATTATTTACCTGGCTTCTGTGTTTTCTGGACTTCTTGTTAGTGTAGATGCATTGAAAATTATCCAATATTTTACCCAAGGAGCCTTAAAGGGCCAAGATTTTACTTGATTTCTTCCTATCTATGGATCCTTGTGTGGACTCTTCCATGTTCTCCTAACCACAAAGTGTACTTTAATAAACCTTTCCCTTTCCAAACCATGTTATGGCAAAAAAAAAAAAACCAAAAAACATGCAAGCAATCGAGAGGTTGTAAATAAATATCACAAGCCAAATGTTTAAAGTAAAAAATACTTGTACAGGCAGTATATGATTTTCCCTGAGATGCTTTGCAGGTGAGTCATAGCACATTGTGTGTTTGGGTGATCCTGGCCACAAGCAACTGTTGCCCCAGCTAACCAGAGTCCAGGCATGAGGCACCCTTGGATGTGACAAGTAGAGAATATGCCTAAGGAATCCCTTTCTTTTGGCTGCAAAGGCCATGCGGGGCTGTTGCTCCTCCCTGTGTGAAATATCTCTGTTTTAATCTAAGCTGTCATTTCAACAGTACTGTGATAACGTTCAGAGGTGCTCCTTCTTCAGAAGCGCAGATGTTCAATTAGCCAGAATTTGGGGTTTGACTTCCTCTTCTTTCTTTCCCTGTCTGTCTTAATATTTAAAATAGATGATCTTACTTACAGTATTCATAATTAAAACAAGAAACCCAAATTAAAGGATTATAATACATACTCAGGATGTTAATAAGTGGATAATGTTTATCATTTTAAGTAATTTTGAAACATTAAAGTCTGTTAGAGCTTTGTTTGGCTGGAATCGCATGTTTCTTTAAGAAGGTGCGTTAGTTCATAGATAATGTTTAAAGGTGCTATTGGTGACAGCCATTCTGTAAGCATTCTCTTGTTAAGCAAACAGGTAACTACTATATAACCTGTCCTAGTACTCAAGAGGCAGAGAGCATGTCAAATAAGCTTTTCTGACATTTGGCAGTTTAGCTGGTTTTTTTACTTGGTTATATTTACTTAATATTAAAAATAGCTATTGCACATCTGAGTGCCCAAAGTTTCTAGCTTTGCCTCCCAAATGTGATCCCATTGTCTAATGATTAAATGTCTCACATTGCTTTTCCAAGGTAATTTGTCCCTTCATATTTTTTAAAAGAGGTGTCATATATATAATTGATTTTTTACAGAGTGGAAGGGAGATAGAGAGTTAGAAACATTGATGAGAGAGAATCATTGATCAGCTGCCTCCTGCATACCTCCTACTGGGGATATGTCCTCAACCAAGGTACATGCCCTTGACCAGAATTGAACCTGGGACCTTTTAGTCCACAGGCTGATGCTCTATCCACTAAGCCAAACTAGTTAGGGTTGTCCCTTCATATTTTTGGTTTAAAATGTAATAGATTCAACATTTCCTCCTTAATGCATTCTCATAAATATGTTAGATAATGCTAATGACTCAAATTATACTTAAAAGACTAAGTTGAATTACCTTAAACACATTATTGTTTGGCATATTATAAGTCATGACCTCAAAAACAAATAAGTATACTTCAAAGATAGAAAATGTCTAGAAAGCAAAGTACTTAAAAGCATTACGCCTGTTATCTTTACCCCAGTGTCCCCATTTTCCTTCTTTTGCCCTTTCCCTAAAGTGATTTTTTCTTTCATGTGAATTTTGCATCTGAGCATGAAATGTGAACACACACACATACACACACACACACACACACACACACACACACTTGCATACACAAATGAGGTATAAATACAGAATAGTATTCCTGCTCAAATTTGGTAGGATTTCCTCTTTACTGAAAGTCTCAAGCTCTTTGGAGATAACTTGACGGTTGGAGATGGACTAGGTGGACAGCAGAGCTTTCCAGATGGGTTTGTCTTGAATAACATATGCTTTCCCTTCCCCAGGGCTGAGTGGAGTAGCTGGAATGAGTTCCCGCTGTGAGAAAGCCTGTAACCCTCAGATGGGAAATTTGGCTTTAGGGAGAAAACTCTGGGCAGACACCACCTGTGGTCAGAATGCCACTGAGCTGTACTGCTTCCACAGCGAGAACACTGATCTGACTTGTCGGCAGCCCAAATGTGACAAATGCAATGCTGCTCAGCCTCACCTGGCTCACCTGCCAGCTGCCATGGCAGACTCGTCCTTCAGGTTTCCTCGCACGTGGTGGCAGTCTGCTGAGGATGTGCACAGAGAAAAGATTCAGTTAGACCTGGAAGCTGAATTCTACTTCACTCATCTAATTATGGTGTTCAAGTCCCCCAGGCCGGCAGCCATGGTGCTGGACCGGTCCCAGGACTTTGGGAAGACATGGAAGCCTTACAAGTACTTTGCAGCTAACTGCTCGGCTACTTTTGGCCTGGAAGATGATGTTGTCAAGAAGGGAGCTATTTGCACTTCTAGATACTCCAGTCCCTTCCCGTGCACTGGAGGAGAGGTAAGGGCCCACGTTTAAGTCTACACTGTACGTAAGGTACAAAAATGTTACCAGCCCACATTTTTTTAAAAGTATGAAGGTATACTTGTAGCAACATGAATGAAATTAGAATTTTTCATGAGCTTTATTTGTCATAAATTATTTCTCACCCTTAGACGTGGATATGTAGTCATTTTCAAGCAGGTTGCCCACTGACTGGGTTTAAGTTGGAATTCTAAGACTTTAATTTTCTTTTCCTCTCCCTAATATCATCATTCTACCTAAGAGGGTTGAAAGGCTAATAATTTAATCAGTCAGTAGGACTACTTACTGTTCCTCTGAGGGGGCAGGAGTTACTGAGACAGCCTGTTCCTGGAGCCCATGCTGGTATCTTCCTGAAACTGTTAACATAAATAGGAAGTAAATAAAAATAAAGCCAAGGGAGGAAAAAAAAAATCTGTTTGTCAGAAGGATACTTTGTATAACAGTGGAGTTTTGTTGTTAAGATTATAAGAGTGCACAGCAAACAAATGAAGGTAGTTTTGTTTTGTTTTTAAATACAAAAGTTATTTTTGTACTCATAGATACCTCCACCAGTTCAGGGTCTTGGGTCTATCCTGGGCCCAATATCATCTCAATTTCATTCTGCAGAAACACTCTCCTTAGCTATTAGTCCCTTTTCTGTATAGGGTGATTTCTCTTTGTTTCATATTTCTGTTCTCCTAAGGGGGAAACAGGTCTTTTAAACTTATACGGATGTACCTAATGTACCTCCAGATACATGAAAAATTTCAGAGAAAATTGGGTGAAAGCAGATTAAAAGAATAAAATACCTTCAGAAATATTGATTTATAAAAAGAGCAGAGAGAGAGTATGAAATTTCTAATTTTGGTACATGTCATAAATACACAGATTAAATAAGTGGTTGTTAACTTAGGGTTGATTTTGCCACCATCTCCCTTCTCGAGACATTTCGCAGTATCTGGAGACATTTTTGCTGGGGGGAGGGACACTCTTGGCATCTAGTGGGTGGTAGCCAGGGATGCTGCTAAATAGAGCACATGATAGCACCTCTCCCATTCCTAACAAAGAACTATTAGCTCTAATGCCAATAGCATTAAGGTTAAGAAAGCCCAGACAAGTTGTCAGGCATACATCTAATGCATATAGTACAAAGGCTATAGACTAAGAGAGGCACTCTTTTAGTAGTCATCTGTATTTGTATTTGCATATTTCCCTGGTGATAGTATTTAGTAAACATTTATTGAGCCCTTACTATCCCAGGCACTGTACTCAGTGCTAGTAATTATGCCTTTGGTTTGGCTGGAGGGTGGGGGTGGGGGTGGGGTGAAGGGAGTGGCGGGGAAGGGGGGGTGCTTGCCTGGGGCCTGGTGAAAAGGTTGGTTTGGAAAACAACTTCCCCCCACTACCATAGGCACATATAGACTTTGCCATATGATCCAGCTGTTTCTTCTGTGTGCACTTTGCAGACCAGGAATAGTGCCACTGGCACCAGAACCAAAGAATGTGGCACGAACAGCACACAGACTGTTTTCCATTTTTCTTCATGGTCCCTAAAGTTGGCTTAATATTGTAAATCCATGAGCACCCTGTCATGATAGGCATTTTTAAAGATACCAGGAAAGGAAAGAGACAGATAAGTTAGGCTCATTGTTTTCTTATGTGGAGAACACTTGGTGTTACCAAATGAATGACTTGAACTCTCAAATTGCTTTGGAAATGATCCACAGGCTGATATCAGCTCCCTACATCTCAGTGCTACTGGGCCATGTGTATCTATGAAGTAGCAAAAATACAGTTTCAGTAACCAGATGGCAGGCATGCTTGCTTAGCAAACATTACATTGAATGTATTACAATGGCCCAGCAATCACTTAGAGATGACTAAGGTAACATTTGGTTAACCTATAGTAAAAACAAAGATCTTATCTTTTTTAAACTTAAACTACTTATTGTCATCAATGCTTACATCAAAATTTAAAGCAGATAAAGGCTAAAATCTGTTAGTTATTTCAATGTACAGTCGAATTTTTAATCCAGATTTTACATTTTTTATTGTAGTTATTTCAACAGACATATCTTAATGATAAAATCAAGATTTGTAAGTGTGCATTAAACCATAATGGAATTTCTTCCCTTTAGAGGGCAGGTTTGGGAATGAATCTTTCCCTTCTGAGTTAGAGAGTAGAAGAAAGTCTTCCTCAAAGGAAGGACCAGGGCAAGCCTTCCCAGAAGTGATTATTACCTACCTCTCCTATGTTGTTCTGGGGAGTAAATTAGTTTTAAGCTATGAATTAATTTCGCAGTACACCTCTGTATCATCAATTTCTATCTTTGGAAATGGAGTGATAAGAAACTAAGCCAATGAATCTAGTATCAAATAGTAGTCTCAAATTTCATTTATTGCTTATTTATAATATTACAGATCTATAACTTCCTCCATTTTGTATAAAACTTCTAAAGATATTATCCTACTACTTAGGCTAAGATAAATATATCTCAGACTTAATTTATTCCACTGTTTATTCCAAAATACTTCTTTGGGCTTTTCAGGCCTTAGAGAGCCTGTAGTTTCATGTCTAACACATCAGATACCTACATTTACAGAACTGAAGGCACCAGTCACCCAAAAGAGGACTTTCAAATAGTAGGCCTAAAAATCCACCCATAAGAATACTTTTAATTTAAAAAAAACATATATATGTATCTTTATTGATTTCAGAGAGGAAGGAGAGGGAGAGAGAGATAGAAACATCAATGATGAGAGAGAATCATTGATCAGCTGCCTCCTACATGTCCCCCACTGGGAATTTGAACCCACAACCTGGGCATGTGCCCTGACCAGGAATTGAACCATGATTTTCTGGTTCATAGGTCAATGCTCAACCACTGAGCCATGCCAGCTGGGCGAGAAGAATACTTTTAAAATAAAAGTTAAGTCTGCTATAAAGAAATTTCCTAAACTGCCTGGCTGCCTTGTGTGGTTCAGTGGTTGAGTGTCGACTTATGAACCAGGAGGTCATGGTTCGATTTCTGTTCAGGTCATAGGCCTGAGTTATGGGCCAGATCCCCAGTAGGGTGTGCAGAAAGCAGCAGACCAATGAGCATTTATTATCATTGATATTTCTATCTTCCTCTCTAAAATCAATAAAAAAATACATTAAAAATAAAACTTCCTAAACTGACCAGCTGTTTCAAAGAATGGGGTAGGGCTATCCTAAAATGTGTCTCCTTTATAGGAGGGCAGATTGAGATTCAGAGGTAAAAGGTAGTTATGTCATAGAGCTAGGACTAAATCATAAGTCTTCTGGCTTTAAATCGACTATTGTTCCATAAAAAATATTTTCTTCTCCACTATTGACCCCCAAGAACTGGTCATAGAGAGATTATATGCATATCTCTCTCCTTGCTCACTCTTATAACTATTTGTTATTAACTGTATATGACAGGAAGGTAAGAAAGAATTTGCCTAACATTCCTCAGAACAGGAATGTTCTCTGAGATGTGAGTGGTGGTCTATGAATAGAGGTTCCATGCCAAACCAGGTTTGGAAACACTAACTGAGTTTAACAAAATTAAACATTTATAAATACATACATATTCACATTATTTATCTTATATCTCCAAGTGGGAAATATAGGTTGAAACACTTCCAAACTCATTTGTCCCTGGGACCCTCTTTTTTTTAGAACTGCAGTTGCTATCTCTCAGAACTCCAGAGATCCCCAGAGCCCAACTTGGGAATTGCTGGGGTGAAGGTATAAAGTGTTCGCCAAAATCCTGGCAAAATACACAGCCAGAGGAGACGTTGTTCAGAGGGTACAACATTTCAGTTATGCAAGATGATTCATTTCTGGAGATCTAATGAACAGCAAACATGACTATTGTTAACAAGACTTTATTGTATACTAGAGGCCCTGTGCACAAATTTGTGCAAAGATGGGGTCTCTTGGCCTGGCCGGAGATCAGGCCAATTGGGACTGTCTTGCCCATTCCCAATGGGGCCTATTGGGGCCAGGAGGTGGGCTGGCCAGCCCCCATTGGGGCCCTTCAGGGCGCTGGCCAGGGGGAGGGACACAGGAGGTTGGCTGGCCCCGGGAGGTTGGCTGTGGGAGCACACTAACCATCAGGGAGCAGCTCCTGCATTAAGCATCTGCCCCTTGGTGGTCAGTGTATGTCATAGCGACTGGTTGTAATGGTTGCTTAAGCTTTTGTATGTATAGATTTGAAACTTACTAAGAGAATAGATCTTAGTGCTCTCCCTAAACACATGCAAAAACATAGGTGAGAATGTGTTAATTAGCTTGAAAATGGTGATTATTTTGCAATGTACTAGTATATGTATATCCAATGATCAAATTGTACACTGTAAATAAATATAATTCTTAATTTTAAAATATACCTCAATAATTTCTTTTTAAAAGCCCAGACAGGCTTGGTGCTTGGCATGGTTAGACATCAAGGCCTCTGTCAGTTGAGGGCTTACCGTATTTTCCGACGTATAAGACGACCCCCTAATTTTACAGTTAAAACATAGGTTTAGGCCTATATTCGCTGTATAAGACTACCCCCCACTTCCGAGGCAACACCAGTTCTTTTTTTAATAGACCGCCTCTCTGACTCTGACCAATCTGAGTAGGCTTTTTACTAGAACACAGTGTAGCTTCGGGTACAGAACATGTATAATTTGCATGCATAAAAAGCCTGCTCAGATTGGCCAGAGTCAGAGAGGAGGTCTATTAAAAAAAGAACTGGTGTTGCCTCAGAAGTGGGGGGTAGTCTTATACAGCGAATATAGGCCTTAACTTATGTTTTAACTGTAAAAATCAGGAGGTCGTCTTATACACAGGAAAATACGGTAGTCTCCTATTTAGTTGGAACAATAAATAATAATCACCTTGAAGCTAAAGATGATAGGTTAATTAGGCTTTTTCAGGATGAAAAGAAGCACCTCAGATCAGCTCTGGGTACAAAAACAAGTAAGTGGGGAGATGTAGCAAG